CAACAAAATACAACAACCGCCGGGCGCGCGGGGGGGGGGGGGGGCGCCCCCCCCGGTGCAGCATGAGAGTGAGCCACTATGCAACATTTGCGCATTGTCAATGAGAATACACCAAGCCCAGCACATTTTATAGAAATTTATATATTTGCGTATTCTGGTATATTCTCGTGTATTCTCACTGAGAATACACTTGCTGGGCTTGGTGTATTCTCAGTGAGAATGCACCAACCCCAGTAAGTTTGAAAAAAACAGTCTCGTTTTGAGAATACACTGCGTACTGATATTTTGACACCCCTCCAATCGAATGTCATTAATTATAATCCATAAGTACGTTTTAAAAAGACAAAACTGTAAAAGTTTACAAACTTTAGAAATGAAACATTTTTCTCTTGAAGTCAACTGGATAGAATTTTTATTTAATTGTTTTTAATATTTAATTACTAACTATCCATTTCTATTATTTACAGATCAAAATGAGATCGTTTGACGTAATTCAAATAAAAATTTATCTCTCAGGATTCAGTATCAAGCAGCATTAGCTGTCACAGGAGCTATGTGAGAAACTCGTTCGAAGCTCCTCCTGCGTAACTTATGTTGGCTTTCGATCAGAGAATTATATCGTGTTAGATGCTTATGTCTGTTTCAAAAAGTTACGTACGGCAATTGTAGATATTGATATTTACAAAACAATATGTATCTATAATTATTTATCTTAAAAAAACTCATGCTTACCATACACATAGATTTGTGACGACAACATGAATAATCGCCACTCGAGCAAAACTTTCATGAGCTCGGATAATTAACTGAAATGAGAAAATATTTACTTCACAAAGTTTATCAAATTTTGTTGAAAACCAGTTGTCTTCTCGAAATACTATCTTGAAGTCAAACCGTTTAAATACAGTTTTATTAGTTCGTCAAACATAGTATATATTAAACGCTTACATTTGAATGTTTGAATATAAAGAAGAATTGTATGAATGAAAATAATAAACGAGAAAAGCAATTATTCAGTTATTAAGTAAGCCGAGACGTTCAAACGTACTGTCAGTGATGTGAACACCTATTTTCCTAGATAAAAGCATTGCGAGCACCTTGAGGCTACATCAAATGATTGAAACTATGATATGACTTCTATGTAAATTTTCTCATCCCGTTTAAAACAGATATATGTACTTCTCATCCTTTACCATCACAATTCACTAAGAATTTTGTATTGCCTATTTTTAGGAAGCACTTCGCTGACGTCATTCTGGAATGTCTCAGAAATCATCCATAACAGCTGTCCATCTTGTGCTCTCCATGTTTTCTAAATTGCTTAGAATTGATAAACCACTGTGAATAACAGTACCAAGACAGAAAACTAGAAAGAAATTCATAAAGATACACATGGGTAACTTATTTATACTAGAGCAAAGTGTCGGGTTGGAACCAAAAACGAATTTGCCTAACTTGTGGCTTCAGTCGTCTCAGTGAGTTCTGAACCAATTTTCACCAAAATGGAGTGTTTTTTAGATTAGAATCTTAGCTATTGAACAATCTAAAAATTATTGAAAAACATTTAAAGGAAACAGATTTCAAAGAACTATACTAAAGGGCGTGTGTTTTGGGATTCAATCAGTCTCTGTGCCAAAATGGAACCGTACAGTCAGATCGATGTCCAATTGGAACCGCTCCATTCAAATACATGAGATTTTTTCATTTAAGTAAAAGCTGTGTTTTAGAAAACTTTGTAAGACAAACTAAGAAATTTTTATATAATCATGTCCATGAGAATGAGCTCCGTCGACTGTTATATCACTGGCCTTTTACCTCCTCCATCAGTATCAGCTCCTCATAAATTCGTTCCAGTCCATTTGTAACCTTTCTGTTATACATCATCAACCTTAGACAAAATCCTACGAACTGTTTATTTCCTACCAGGATCTTACAGGGGCCACTTTCGTCAAAAAACTTACTTAAGTTAAGATTTGACTTAAATCAAATCTTAACTTAAGTTTCTTGATGAAACTGCCACCTAGCATTTAGGATCCGCCTAATAACTTCCAAACATGATCCTACTACGATTTTGCTTAAGTTTGTTTAGGATCTTAACCAAATCATAGAAAATCTAAAGATCTTCGAATATACCTGATTTCATTAGGATTCTGCAGGATTTTGTTAGGATTCTAAGAAATTAAAGCGAAATCCTAGTAGGATGTGTCTCGGATTCTGTCAGAAAACTCATAGGACTTTTGCTAGGGAACTGGCTGCTTTGAGTACTATGTAGATGGCTGAGATGTCCGGAAAATGTCATTGGTGGCAGCTGTGAGTGATGTTAGAGGCTCATATGTAGCTATTGTGTGAGGATATGATAGATTAAATGGAAAAGACAGTTGAAGCATGAATGCCTGATGCGATAAATTTGAACTGGTGTTAGTTTGTGCGGATCACATCGATACTGGTGAAGGAGCTAAAAAGCAAGAGTGATGTAACAGTTAGATCAGCTTGATTTGGATGTATAGAAATTATAAGTACCTGTTAGTGTTGTTATTGGGGGCATATTGCACTATTAAGATCTAATTTATTTTGATGTATCTTTGACGTAGCAAGTTTTATTTTTGCTTTATTTCTGTTAGCGTTCGCTGATTCTTTTTTCTCCAGAACATGGATTGTTTCATCGGATGTTAGACTAATACCATACGGTTTGTCAAGTCTACCATTCTTTGTCGCATAAATCTCGAAATTGATTCATTACATACAGAACGGTTTTGTCGATTGGTTGTTAAAAATATTTTCTACAATATCCTCTGAAATATTCTGGGAAGTAGATTTTACGCAAGCGTTGAAAACTCTGTGTATTTCAACGGGATGATTTCAGGTAGGCACGCATTTGGCTGTACGATTCTAATTAAGCTCAATGCCTAATATACAATCATCTCGTTTTTTCATACATTAAAGTTTTGTGAGTATAACTTCGTCAATTTTGGTCGTACAGATCTCGAAATAGTTGCATTCGACGAAACTCATTCTCATGGACATGATTATATAAAAATTTCTTAGTTTGTCTTACAAAGTTTTCTAAAACACAGCTTTTACTTAAATGAAAAAATCTCATGTATTTGAATGGAGCGGTTCCAATTGGACATCGATCTGACTGTACGGTTCCATTTTGGCACAGAGACTGATTGAATCCCAAAACACACGCCCTTTAGTATAGTTCTTTGAAATCTGTTTCCTTTAAATGTTTTTCAATAATTTTTAGATTGTTCAATAGCTAAGATTCTAATCTAAAAAACACTCCATTTTGGTGAAAATTGGTTCAGAACTCACTGAGACGACTGAAGCCACAAGTTAGGCAAATTCGTTTTTGGTTCCAACCCGACACTTTGCTCTATAGAAAACTATACTGATCATTACTAATTACGAACTTCCTGTTCCGACCCGAATATATAATCCGCCAGCTGTTGACTTGTCGTCATAATTGTAGCCAATCACACGTTGTACAATACTATCTTTCCGATGTCTGATGTATGCCCGAAGATTACTTACCCCACCTGAAGAATAAATATATTTGTAGATATAATTATAACTGAATATAGTTACTATATACCTGTATCTAATGCTAATCGACGATCGTCGGCGGCTCTCGAACGTTGGTTATGAACAGTTCGTTTTATTGGCAATGACATTTCCTCTAATGATTTTTCTAAATCACCACCGTTGTCATCGTCGTCCTCATGGTGATCACTTAGAGAATGATTATCGTTATGTGTCTCATCTAATTCAAGATCATCAAATATTTTTAAACCATAATATGGTGTTGTTTTTACAAGGTTTTTAATTACATCACCACGACCAACGGGACCGTTTATATTCAAATGAGAACCACTTTTTGATTTATTAGTGTTTAAGTTTATTTTTCGACGATGACGGACGATATCGACAATAAAAAATAACATCCAGAATATTGATAACCAATATAAAAATGTGAAATAAACCTAAAATAAATTATTTAGAGTAGCCTTGTTCACAGCTTCTGTATAGCTTTGATTACTATCGACTGTCAATAATTTGAGATAAAAAAAATGACGTCATCCACCTTTTTTAATGATTTTTTGATTTTAATTAGTCGGAAGAAAAGATATGTTCATTACCTCTGCAAGGTGTTTAAATCCTTGCTGTTCTTCTTCTGGAATAATTGCATGAGAGATGGAAAAAGCCACACCAACAAGAAAAATGACTAAATGTAAAGAAAAAGAGTAAAAGACTAGTTTCCTCAAGAATTATGTTCTTCAATGTTCTAATCACCTAAACCATACAGGATACTGAATATTTTGTACGCATCATTATTTTCATCATTATTACTAAAATTGAAGACAAGCGAAGGTTAAGAGAAATAAGACTAACTACACGACAGTCATACATATATTTCACTTTTTGAATGTAAGTCCGCATAGTACTGATCAAATTGATCCCTTCTTATCATTAAAACTTTGTAGAATCGAGAAAAAGAGATGAATGGTGACCATACAGAGAGAAAGATTCAACTATTTTTTAATGTACTTTCTCTGTCTCTGTATTGACATTGTTAATAGGTCACAGAAAGTTCTTAATATATTTGGTGAACTATATATAAAAAAAGATTGAACTTTAAAAATGAAAAATGAGTGCTATATATACTATATTCACTATACTATTCAAAAAAAGGATATAGTTGTTCTTATATCGTCACCACGTTTATTTTTTATTTTCATCTGGCTATGGATCTTTCTGAGTGAAAACTGACTCTAGTTTCAGAGAGATTTTGAGAGTTTTTCTAAAATACTATCATCTCGTTGGCTAAGAAATTACTTCTTTACATCATATGTTGCAAAAGTATGTAAGACTATTGCTTATAAACGTTTTGAATAATAAGAAAGATCTGCATGGAGCGTATAATATTTATGGATCCTTACGATGTTTTAGGTGCAAATCTTCGCGATTCGTCGATAAATTTTGACTGCGAAAGAAATATAGCGCCCAAAAGATTTTGTAACAACTATTTTTGATGGATACTGCGTCCATCCGAAATTAACATCGTTGACTGTAGCACACTGCCGCTTTCTCATACCTACATTTTATGCCTCTGTACTTTTGATTGCACCGACCCTTTTTTTCGAAATCGAAACATTATTATTATTCTAATTAATGACCAGTCAATAAATAAAATGCCTAGGTAAATGCATATTTATTCGCTGTACCTTTCCGCACGTTTTCCATTCATTCGTTTATTTAAGCTCTTTATTAGTCAAAAATAAGCATCTTTATTATTTCTTAGTCACACGTCTACAAACATAACCCAGGTAAACAAGGCAAAAATAATGATAATGAGAAAAATAAAACAACATAAAAAAAGTCAAAAATATCCCTCCCTATTGGGCGGCACTCGGAGAAATAGATGGAGAATCATTTCATAAAACGTACCCAAAATGACCTTAATCCGTTTAAACGAAATTTATTATTCTCAAGGTTTTGAACAATCATTTAGTCCAAAAGTAAATACGTTTGTCTCACAGCTATAAGTTCGGGGGTTATTCCATCATTCGTGTAAATGTGATTTATATTTTTCTTTCGATCTGTTCTTCTCTTTTCTGTGTAACTGTGTAACTTAGCTAGCGATAAAGCTTCAGTCAAACGATGACAATCTTTACTTTTGTTCTGATTGAAAATGTGCTACATGTTTATTTTTGAATTATTAGTACATCCTCTTTTATTGGGCAAACGGACACTTGCTCGCTAAAGAGATTTTGGCGTAAATTTGTAGTAAAAATCCTTGTCAGGCGGCCCTTCTCGGGGCTACAATGGTGAAAGTCCTTTGCAGGTCTTTCACTTTTAGTAAGTAAAGCACTGCTACGTTATATTAATATTGTAATATAGAGAGATGGTGCGGGACTTTTATTTGCTTTGAGATAAATGATAATGTTAACTAGGGATTTTTCACTTTATTTTACATTTTTTTACCAAAAGATAAATGTTTTTTGGACTCAAAGTGAGATAATAATTCAATCTTAGTACCGATAATACTTTATGATGAATACACCAGCATTGTAAGATGAATACACCTGGGGGAGGGGGGGGGGAAGCGGTAGATAAATAGGTCAAAATCAAGGCTTTATGAGTATAAAACTTCAACTCCTTCTCCTTTGGAGATACCCAGGTAGAAGAATCACACTAAGATCTTACATGATCGTACAAGACGTAAGAAGCGATATGATTCGTACTGTAGGATCGTATGATTTCTTATAGTACGATTTTGGTACGGATCTGATTATACGACGGTCTGATGTTTTGTACGAATTCGTGCAGTATGATTCGTAGAAAATCGTTTAGTAAAAATCGTACACGTTCGTGTCGTACGATTTCATACGACTTGAGTGGAGATCGTACTCTTGAGATTATTTCTCTCGTTTTGCCCCGATTCATACTTGGTTTCTTGTTTATATGCGTTTTTCAGTGTCTAATATTAGAAACTATCTTGATGCTTCGTAAACTTCAGGTCGATTTGAAAGTTCACTGAGCGCCTTTTACGCTTACTGTTCACAAAAGAACAAAATTTATGAGAGAAAGAACAATTTACATCCCTTCCTAATACTAGGCGAATATAGTAGATATGAGAATTCAGAACTTCCTCTTTTCTTATTCTACCTTACCTTATTTACTATATTAATGTATCTACACTACCTTAACTTACCAAAGGCTGAGAATACTCAGAGAAGTTTTACACTTTCCAGTTCTTCTGACTTCTCAGAGAAAAAGAAATTTCTCTACTATCACTTTATCGTACCTTACTTAATTACCTTTATTTTCTCCATTATGATTACAAGATTGAGAGAATACTAACACGGAAAGAAGCCTGCAGACTAACTAGATAAAAACAGTAAGACTCGTATGTTATTTGTACGTAAGGCCGTACATGATCGTACACTGTAATGTTGGGAATTATTTACAGAAAATGCTCGGCGATTTTCGAAAAGTCCATATATAAATTCCCTAAGGATTTTCTAGATTCTAGAAAATCGAATTTACAAGAAACTTGAAAATTCGACCTCGTATTTCCAGAATTCGGGAAATTCGAGATCGATTTTCTATAAATAATTTCCAAGATTCTTGAAATTCGAAGCTGATTTTCCAACATTTTAGAAATTCCATGTGAATTTCAAGAATCTTTGAAATTATTTATAGAAAATCGATCTCGAATTTCTAGAATATTAGAAAATCGACGCCGAATTTTCATATTTTTGGAAATTCTACGACGATTTTCTGAATAAAATGAAAATTCAATCAGAAAATCGTAAATCAGAAATTTATAGAAAGCCAGAAAATCGACAGAGAATTTATAAAAATCAGAAAATCGCCGGCGATTTTCGAGATAGATTTTCTACAAATCAGAAATTAATTCCAAATTACGATGTATACAATCATACGTACGAAACTTCTGCAGTATACTGAAGGAGTTTCACAAAATTGATCTCAAAGCGATGATGATTAAAAACACATTCATCCGAAACTGTTTTCTTCTTCCTTTAGCATTCAAAACAGTAGCACACTAGAGGGGTAATGAAGCATAAAAAAACAGCTGTAGAAGAAAGAACTCAAGATTTTATCTTCACTTGTCAGATCAAAGATAAAGAAAGTGTCTAAACGCTAACTCGTTTGTGAACTATCGCAATCTAGATATTAAAAACTAAATTTAACTTTATCAGCCTACTCATATATATGCTTCTTAGTGAAAATGTTACCATGTTATTATATTATCCCAAATTAATGGCTCTCATAAAATGATGACCTAAATTGATGATGATGCTCAAAAAAACGACAAGTTATATTATTATAGTATGATGAATTATATTAGTTGCATACACTACATCCCTATAAAAGCTATGTCATTCCCAGTACAATCTACCACAAAAACAATTATACCAGTCACTCTTTCCAAAACCTCAAAAACGCTACATTACCTATACACAACAGCTTTCCGCATATTATTAAACATGCATGCCATGGAATATTACACAAATTTAAACAACTGTTCATTCATTAAAGCTGTTGTGATCATGAAAACCAGAGTGAAAATCCACGTTCTGACCAATTCGACAATACTATGAACGATTACATAAAGAATCACAACAAAATCAAAGAAATCCTCATGATATTTTGACATAAACAAACATTGGTGTTCCAGATGAAGTGCGTGTTAAACTACCAGACAATAAAAACTTGAAACGAAATATTCATCGTTGACGATAAGAAGATTGCATGTCACCCTCGGTATTAACACCACCAAACATCAACTTTCAATTATTCCGAATAAATATCATCGAACAGCACATGATACAATTTTTTTGCGTAAAGATACTGGTCCTGGTTCAGTCATTAATTTTTTATAGCTGTATACAGCAGCGCTTTAATCATCACTTTGGGATGAACGTTTTACCACAAATTTATGCCAGAATCTCTTTAGCAAACAAGTGTCCGCGAGTAACTATCTTCGAGAGCAACTGTCTTAGACTCCTTTTTTTTGTAACATTAAGGAATTGTGTGTTACGTTACATACATTAATTTCTACAATTATTACTATCACATTTTTATGATTTTCTTTTATTTATAAACCTTTGCATGATGTTAAGTCCGCCTTCTCATTTTCACCAAATAATTTATTGCAAAACAAGAAAATAGAAAGACTAATTCAATTAGTTTATACCACCTTGATCTATCAATGAAAAAAAAACCTCAATTCTTCATACAGTGCTAACAATTTTCCGTGATCTTCGAGATCATGGAAAATTCGCGTTTGCGGCGAACTGAATTATTTGTTACTTTTTCGTTACAACATGTCTTCATACTGGCTATAGAGACTTGTAATGTTTATCTTTTCTCTCACAAATTGTCACCATGTAGGTCAGGTAGGAACCGATTGCGAATTCTCTATTATTTTCTGACGAGATCAGACCACCATATAGACCCTATTGCCACGCTCCCATGCCATTCGTTTTCCTCGCCTCCCCGGCAGACATCCATACAAGCTGTCTATCTGGTAAAATTTCACAGTGTCAAGCGGTCATAAGTATTAAAGGCAGCATAATAAAGAGAATTCGTAATCGATCCTTACCTGACCTACATGGTAACCTGAACTCTTTAGAAAATAATAAAGAATTCACAAACATATTATATACACCAATATGTATTATTACCATCCTATTGCATACCGAAATTAATTTCCAGCGAATGTGAATTCATTTTATAGAAAATCAAATTCTCCACGAACGTGCATCTTCCAAGCTATGTCTAACACGTGCATTGTGTTTATAATAAGAAGCACGTGTACCGAAGAATGAATATATTGTTTAAGATCTTTCGCTCGAAAGTTCAAAATTTTCATCTCGCATGTATAATTCTTACTCTCTAAACAATTATATATAAAAGTAATCGAACTAACCTGCCTTGAACAAATGGATTCGGCCATGACCGTCTCAATAATAATTGCGCTTCTTTCAGTAAACGTTTACTTGTAAACTTTTTATTTTGATGTGAAGCAATGTTATTATTGTTAACCATAGCTGTATTATTTGTTGGCGTATAAGGCGAATTGGAAAGAAATGATGAAGAACGTGATAGTCTGACAACAACCGGTGTGGTTGTCATTGAACGTTGAATAGACATTGAATTGTCTATCAGTGTCGAGTTATTGTCATAATTTGTAGGAATTCTATCGAGGTAGCACACACTTTTATGGTTATAGTTCTGATGAGGAGAATTCATTCGTTCAATGGATACTTCACTTTTCATCCAAGTTCTTGGAGCACTAACCGTTGGTAAACTTAAGTTTGATGCATGTTGTCTTTTGGGGGAAAATAACTGATGGGTTTGTTGCTGAGATGATGAACGCTGAGAATTCGCTGGAACATCTTGTCGGTTGAAAAACTCCGTGGGCGAGCATAGCATTGATACGGTATGCCTGCTTTTTGACGATAATAATTGTTGTTCATTTTGATCAATTTGATCATTTTCTATCGTTGGTACTTTTAGATATCTCATAGAGCTCGCCGTAGAAGAATTTCTCATTTATTATCTCCTCTTAATAATTTTTTGTTCATTAATAAAAAGCAGACTAATCTTGTAAATAAAAGAACAAAAGAAAAGCAAAACACATTATATTTTGTGTATAAAACTGTGAATTCATCTTTACGTTCACGTTTTATTTTTCCATTTTACCATGCTGTTATGCAAATGTGTTTGATTTTATCATTTTCATCATTTGTATATTTATATGTGCTTTAAACTGCCAAAAAAATATAGGATCAATGATAAAAGGTTTACTTGAAACAGACATAGCCTGGAAAAAACACATTCATCCGAAACTGTTTTCTTCTTCCTTTAGCATTCAAAACAGTAGCACTCTAGAGGAGTAATGAAGCATAAAAAAACAGCTGTAGATGAAAGAACTCAAGATTTCATCTTCACTTGTTAGATCAAAGATAAAGAAAGTGCCTGAATGCTAACTCGTTTGTGAACTATCGCAATCTAGATATTAAAAACTAAATGTAACTTTATCAGCCTACTCATATATATGCTTCTTAGTGAAAATGTTACCATGTTATCATACGTAAGTGACCTTGTATCAATTTTTTTTCCTGCCTTTGCTTGGAGCACAATAAAGCTTCATTAACGGTCAAAATAGCACATTATGCACTCAATATGATTGATCATTTCTCACTGTTTAAATGACAACACAACTAGTTGTATTTACATCAAGCAGTATTCACATACATCTTATTGTTTACTTTCCACTTTTCTGGTGATAATGTTGAGTCTTACTCGACATGAAGACTAAAAAAATCATTGAGAAATCAAATATTTTTAAAATTCAACTAACATTATACTTTCTATTTAATTTATTACTTATCTTTGGACACCTTACTTGATTTTATCGACAAATCAAAACTAACTTCAACCCTACTAATAATTTCATTTATTAAGTAAATGATCGTTTCGCTTTGCATTTAAACGTCAAATATTTATGGATTTTATTTCGTTGTCTCTATTCGAATAGAATAATTAAAAATGAAACTGTATGGTACATGTTGATTTTGATAGTTTTACACACATATATATAAATAATATATGAATAGAAAAGGAATGAAAAAAAGTTCACAATAGCTACAGTATATCATCATCGAAACAAAAGCCACTTTTGCACAACGTATTGATGATATTATATATTGCGTACATTAGATGCGTATATAGTCGAAGTAATAAAACACAAAATTGGATCATGAATAAAGTATTAAACGAATGGAGCTTTTAGATGATCGCTATTGCAGTCAGTTTGAACAAAATCCTCTTCGTCTTATGAGATTAGCAATGCTTCGTTATGCAAATTATTAACGTGAACCAAATATTTGACTACCATGGAATTTCTCTGTAGCGGTCTCTAAATCAACGTGAAAATAGCAGTTCATCTTTGTCTTAAAAAGAAACGGTGAGTTATGTTGCATTTATAAACTTCAATTATATAGTACCTATTTGTTTAAAAAAGATAAAGAAAAATTTATATGTGGATATATAAAACACGTAGATTTATATTTTATTATGTCATCTTGTCACTGTAACCGGCTTGTCACTGCCGATGTTCATTGATTCTTTTTTATACATGTCAGGTGCACAATAGGCAGAGGGTGAAGAAGGATAGGGTTGCACGAAGGGAGTTACCAAGGGACAATATTTTATTTCATTTGCATTTACATGACTTGGTGTAACGAATTGTTCGCTTGTTTCTGTGGTTAATCCACTATGTGGAATGAAACGTTGTGGTTCGTGTATCTGACGAATTTTGGCCGATTGTGAAAACCATGCAGAATCTTGCATTGGTAGTTGTTCACGATCAACACTATCGATCGGTAGATGATTTGGTGTATTGCCAAATCCTTGTGCTTTTGCATATTCTTCAGTGTCCCAGAAAGTAACCGGATCTTTTTTTGCTATTCCTTCCCATTCGTCTCTAAAATGAGAAACATGATATTTTGCTTTTAAAAATAATAATTTCAAGCGTAAACAAACTTACTTTCTCCATCGACGGTGTTCTTTATTATAAGTGGTCAAATAGGGATCAAGTAAATTAAAAACACCTTGCTCACTAGGATCCCAATTCCGTGGTATTGCTCTTCTTATTTTTTCATCTTCAAGTAAAACCTAAACGAACAAACATCATTAAAAAATATACATCACCAATGAAAATTCTACATTGGTAAAAAAGTTGATTTTTTGTAATCTAAATTCCTCCAACATAGTATACAAAAAGGAATTTTAAACGGCCGATCTTTATTAATAGAGCATACTTTTGTCACTGGTTGAGTTTTATCTGTCAAATATGGTAATTGCCGATCGATTCGATCAAGCTCATATTTCATGTTTTCTTTTGCATCAAACTCTTGTTTATATTCACTCTTTTGATTTCCCATTGTTAATGAACGATTCCATCCGTGAGCCTTTAACTGGAAAAAAGATTTAAAAATAGATTTATTCCTTTTTCACAAAATTCAAAAACATAATACCTTTTCGACAAAATCTGTCATATAATTCACTTTCCAATGAGCCGGTGCTTTTTTGTGATGATGAATTTGATCATTGTAAATTTCTTGTTGTGGATATTTATTATCGAAATAAACACTATTTGTACTTTTGAAATGTTGTTCCGGTATAATTTCATCAGCACAATTTAATTTTGGCGGCAAAGGATCCGTAAGAACACGCTACAACAAAATTTCCATTATTAAACATATAATATATTTCCTAAAAACTCTTCAGAATGATACCTTGAAATTTGAACTAGGAAAATAATAGCCTGGTCGATATTGATGCCCAACACCTGAACTTGTTTGAAATAAGTCTTGTCGCCGCTCATCTAATCCAGTGTCTAACATAATTAGTCAATAAAATAAATGCACACTCTAAAAGGTGAATTTACAAAAAAAATCTTAAAACGTTCAATAGATAATGCGCTCTAGTGCAAAATAGACCTTTCTTAATCAGAAAACAAGGTATATAACGATACACAACACATTCCATTTTAGTACACACATTTCCATTCTATTTTTCTCAGAAAATCATATCAACTCGACAGTAGTTTTAGAAACTTTTGATAGCCACGATTAAAATTGTACTAACTGTATCCTTCAAACAAGCACATAAATGCAGATCATTTATATCTCTCTTCTTTAAAATCTCCAAATTTCACGTTGATAGTAGAGATTTATAGATAAACTTTACGGATGTCTAGTTTTGACCGTAAACAGATTATCATTTCAGCCATTCTATTATCGTCTTCATACTGTTGCATAACAACACCTTCATAATTACATCTCATACCGAAAATGGAAGATTAGTTAAACCTATATTAAGCAAACTGATGAAATGCATTGAGCATTGAATCGACTTTTCTCCTTAACCTAATTCATTTGCAGTAGTGGGCGCTGTTTATAGCGATCTGTTGACGATGGTTTCAAGCAATTGAAATCGAGATATTCCATTCTGTGGAAGAGTGGAAGTATTATATGCTTGTTTACCGCTAGCCGTCAAAAATAGCCGTCAATTAACGCCTAGCCATTAGCTTTAAAAATATGAAAAATGGCAGTATGAATAGACGAATATTATGCTGGTCTTGATCTTTTCATGGGGATAAGATATCTATCTGAGAAAATTTAGTGGACTGCTTCATAAACAGTGTTTTTAGGCAATATCGACAGAAAAGTTCAAAGGATCCTACAAAGTTATACATCTCTATTTTGTGTTGTCCACTACAGTAGAAAACGGCATTGATTCGATCGAAGTTTTAGAGAAATGCAAACAGAGATAAGATTTACGAATTTTCTTTTCTTTTTTGGATTCTTGCTCATCAACATAACTACAAATGAATGCCCCCTTTAATATAGTATAGTAACAGTAGTAAGGATATAAAAAAGGAAAAAGATTCGGAAATCTTAATTGTTGAAAGTTAATTACCTTGATTCCTAAGTCGGTTTTCTACGAAAATAGCTTAGCCAGGATCTTGTTAGGGGGAGGCGATGCTAGAGATGGCACCAGGACCAAAAACATTTGCGTGCCATTCCATTAACTTTAGTGGTAAACTATTATTCGATCACGTATTTTGTACAGAAATGTTTGCTCTTTCACCCTACATATTTTAATACATTTTGCGACACAGCCAAAAAGTAAAGATCTCAATCTTTCATAAGTATTTGATGAAAATATTCTATATCTAACGAACTTATCCACACAATCAATTCATTATAAAATATTAGCTCAGAGTAGTGGAATTGTAAAATTTGAATGGGTAAAAAAACATATTTAGTAAAGGAGCGACGTGCATTCAGCGATTATACACCACTATTCTAGCATTAGTACAGAGAGGAGAGAGTAATCGCTTCTCTCCTAAAAATTTTTCAGGTTTATGAAGAAATAGAAACCGTCTTTTAAATATAAAAAAGCTATTCTGAGAAATTTTACTCTTCTCAGTAGCAATAGAAATCGTAAAAAAAGAATGGTATTAAACCACTATGAAGACTAGATTCTAATTAAGTTCGAAAAAGATAATTACCTTAATCATTATATAAACTAGAAACACTGAATTGAGTTTTGTAGTTTACTGTAAACTGTAGTTCGTGGGTTTGAGTGTCTATTCGTGCAAAATTGATTTTGTGTTTTTCAGTAGTTTATGTGGAAAAGGTTTCATGTAAACAATAAAGATTTCTAAATTCAAAGAAGAACTTAAAATAGTATGAAAATTAGATAAGCTTGACTGTTACATGTATGTAAGAACAATGTGGCTACTATTAGGTTGAGGAAAAAGTTCGTGTGCCGTGTTAAAATAATGATTTTAATAATAGCTAGAATAAATTTGAAAAAAGATTTGAATAGCTGAAAGAATTTCCGATCTCAAGTGGTGTATACAAAGGCTCCATCAAAACTCCTGAAATCAGGGTCTCTGGAGAACTTAAATCTCAGAAAACCAAGTCCCAGAGTTCAATCCAGCAATTCTTTGCAAATAAGTCCATCGTGTAGAGCAAACATTTCTGAAGAAATTGAGACGTCTCCGAGCTGTTTACGACATTTTCTCACAGAGCAAGAATCAATTTACGGAAAGCCCCATAGCAGCAAAACTAACGGAAAAACAAGAAGATACGCCCTTAGGGCCTTTTGTAGGGTTACCTGAGATCGGAAATTCTTTCAGCTATTCAAATCTTTTTTCAAATTTATTCTAGCTATTATTAAAATCATTATTTTAACACGGCGCACGAACTTTTTCCTCAACCTAATAATTCCAATAACTACTATCCATTCCAAAATACAGTGTCGGTGGGCATTTTTTGAATAAATTTTGATAGGAATGAGATAGAGACCTGTGATTTTGGCTATTCGATAGCCAAGACTTGAGAAGAACTTTTCGCAAGCGAAAACAACTTTTGAAAACACTTCAAAGATCGGGTTTCCAGAGGATCTTTGGAAAACCAGCTCCGTTCTCAGAAAACTAACATATAATGTTAGTGATTCTTTTGCGTGCGCAGATAGTTCGGACGTTACTCTACAAAATTATGCAAGTCCCGGCTCTCCAGCTATCTTCGTTCGGATAGAGCTCGCTTTCCCCGAGCACGTGTCTATCTCCGAGCAGGCATCTCTGCGAATCTCGAAATGCCATGGAATATAGGTAATCGACTAGGGTGAGCATAGTGGCAACATTGTCTTTGTATAGAAATGAATATAACTTCGCCAGAGGCATTTTTGTGAAAAAACGGTTTTTCGCCTGTTACTAGGAAACATTAAAATTTCTATATCTCGATCAGATCTCATGCTGACTCGAGGAAATTTTCAGGAACTGCTCAGGACAGCTCATAAAGCATAATCGAAGACGAAAAAGGTGAATTCCAGCCGGGCATTCTTTTAAGGTTTTCCAAAATCCTACTGAAAAACCTTTTCCAGTCTTTCCTGAAAGATTCCTTGACACAACATGAGATTTGATCGAGATATAGAAATTTTAATGTTTCCTAGTAACAGGCGAAAAACCCGTTTTTTCAC